AGTGTATAATAAACATCCTTACAGATTTCACAGCACAGCTACCTCAAAAAGGGATGATCTTGCAAAAACCTGGACAGGTGGCAAGCCTAGCTGCACTGCTCACAGTAGCAAGCCCTGTGCTCTATGGCAGTTATGGTTTGTCATTCTGGGCCCATAACGCAGACCTTTATTTCTGGTTTTTTAAAATAAAAAAAAATTAAACAGTATTTACTTTCACCTAAGGAAATAGCAAGTTTCCACTTGTAAAAACTGCCTCGCATTTTTAAAGAATATTAAAGGGGGTAATGAAAATTTGTTTTCTTTTCTGAAAGCTATGATTGGGTATGTTTGCTGAGCACGTTTTCCTACACAGCTCTAATACGGATATGTACAAAGCCTAGACAAGGGGAGGGACACTTTTAGTTAGCGTTGAAGTCTAGGAGTCAGGAGTCCTGGATTCTATGCTCCTGGCCCTGCTGTTGACTTACTGAATGACCTTGGGTAAGTCACTCTTGGTCTTCAACTAACCCATCAGTAAAATTGGAATCCATTACTTATCTACTTCATAGGGATATTGTAAGTGTTAATTAAGTAATATCTCTAAAGTGCTTTATGGAACTTAGATGAGTATTTGCTATTTCTAGAAATCTCATAGCAGGAGAAAAGCATATTCTTAATATTTCTCTTTTTTTACAAGATATTACGTGCAATATGGAACAGAAATAGCTGGCATTGTTTAGATGGATGCAGAAGACTTCTTCAGTTTAGTGATGTGCTGCCAAACTTTTAGTGAGGGGTTTCCCCAAAAGCTTTCCATCTCAGTTAGCAGTATGTCTCCCACAGGCAGAAGAGGAAGAGAAAGGGGCCTATATAGCAGGCTGGATTCAGCTTACCCAACCTTTTTGCACTTCTCCCACAGAGAGATGGTCCAATGACAAGTTGATTTCACCCTATGGGCTTAAGTGAAACCTAGAGATTTGGGGCTCCTTTGCATTGGAATGGAATTCTCCCCCAAACCAAAAAAAAATATTCTTTTGATATTTTCTTATTTGAAGTCTCACAGCATACTCAAGAATTTTTAAATATAAACTAGAAATTTCACTTACAAATCTGTATTACTTAGCTATAAGAAATTTAGAAAACATTGATTGGAGGAAAGATAGAGTTGACAACCTCTGCTGACTTGTCATAAACATTACACAGCTGCCTGAATGAATCATAAGCTGGGTATTTTGTTATGGTTCATCCACACCCACAATTGCCATGCGTCCAAATTAAAGTCAGGCAGGATTACTTCCCTGATGAATAGATTTCCCTTTAATTAGATGTTCTAGAGATAAAGCATTGGATCATCTCACTATTTTAATACTTTGTAGGGAAGGGAGGCATAAAACAACAAATCTGGGAGGAGGTAGCTGTATGTGCTCCTTTCTCGTTACACAGTAGAATGGTTTTCCATTGTTTGCCAGCTAGTGCTTCCTGGGCAATGCAGCAGACAGGAAGTGTCTAAACAACAAGAGAAAGTTCACAGGTAGCCCAGGTGTAAACACACAAATACTTTCTCTGAGGTTTCTACTTATTTTAGGAATTCTGAGTTGACCAAACTAATACTAACTTGGTCCAAGGCCTGAGCTACACACAGATCTTGCACTGGCATAACTATGTCAGTTAGGGATGGGAGAGAGATATTTTAAACTGATAAAGTTATACCAGTACAAACCCTACTGTGGACACAGTTATACCTGTGTAGAAGTGTCTTGTACTGGGAACAAGCTATATTAATATTAACCACATTTATAACTGCACCCAGGCTATATTCATCCAGGATGCAGGAGACCTCAGTTCAATTCCTCCCACAGCCTGATGAGAAGGGATTTGAACAGTGAGTTCCATATTTCAGAAGAGAGTGCCATAGTCACTGGTCTGTGGAGTATTATCATGTGGGTCTTCTCATTCTCTTGTTGAAGCAGTTTCACTTTAATTTAATTAAGTTAATGACTAACTGGGCCAGAGAGAGTGAGTTGTTCTACAGTTTAGTGGTTAGGGCACTCACCTTCTCCACATCTGGCAGAAGGGGGAAATGAACTGGCATCTACTACATCCCAAATGAGTACCCTAAACACTGGGCTAAAGGCTATGAGGTTTTCCACCCCTGCCCCGCCACTTAGTGTGGAGTTAGGCATCCTCTGAGCTCACCTATCGCATCAGGCAACATAGGCAGAAGAGCACCTATCTTCCCCAGTGTGTGGAACATGCTGCAGCTTATGGGAGAGATAGGCATCTCAATGCCTAAAGATAGCAGTGTACAGAGGCAGAAACAGGTGGTAAGGGAACTTTTACAATAAAAATTTAGGTGGCAAGTGAGTTTAGGCACTTACAGGATAGGGCAGGCAGGGGTTTGTGGATTGCAGTACCACCTAACATTGGTTGTTAGATGCCTAAATCCCTTTGTAGATCTGGTCTCAGAAGACCAAACACTCCAATAGATTGGGCTTCTCATCAGTTATTTAAAAATTACATATAGTTACATATATTGTCTCATCTATAAACATATAAACATGTTCTTTTAAGTATCAGGGGGATTTGGGAAATCACCTGTTTTACTGAGCCCAACTATGATAATTTAAATTCTAGTTTGGATAGAGAACATATTTACTCCACTTTTTCCTCTGGCATCTATTACAATCCTGTTTGAGAATTTACTGACAAACTAATCCACAACTACTTTTTTTTAAAACAGTTTAAGTCAAAATTTAAACAAAGCAAAAATAAGTCAGAGAAACAAATTTGGAATCTTTTGATTGTTGGGGAAAAGCATAACAAACCAGAGACTCATTTCACTATATTCATTTGTAATAGTAAACCACAGATACACATTCTTTGTGCATTTGTAATGTTTTTCTTCCTTCTGGTGAAGGCCTGAGATTACCCTCTTGGGTATACTGAACAGTGTGGGGTACTTCACATACCATATAATTGGCATGCACATTGGTTTTGAATCAGTTTGGGGGTGAAATTTGTTGGCTAAAGCTTTGGAAAATCTGATTTTAGAGCTGTCAGACTGGTTCTATTCACTCTGAAACAAACAAACAAAATTATTCTTTTTTAATGACCCTATGTTACTTGGCCTTTTATCTGTTTTTCCTATGGTTTAATGATGTTTTGTATTTCAAAATGTTGTGCAGTACCTCAGTAGGGGGGCACTTTATAAATAAAATCAGTATTATATTATTTTATTTATTTATTTATTTATTTATTTCCACATGTGCTAAGGAAATGACTACATGCTTCTGGAAATCTTCCAATATAATATATTTTGATGTGATGTGAGGAGATTTTCCATTGCATGTTGGTATACATAGATTAAAAATATGTCAAAAATAACTCTTGCATCTTTCCAACTCAGTGAATTCAAAGTGGAAATAAATGTATTTAGTAGTCAAGTCAACCTTTCCTATAAGTTTGTGCTTTAGTTGCCTGTTCTTCACTATTTTGCATGGTGATGTGTTTGTTTACAGATTGTTCTAAGATGTGTACATTTTGGTTTTGGAACAATGATAAAATATGAGTTAAAATGCTCTGCAGAAGGAAAACACGTTGTTTTTTGAACTAATCTTACAATTCTTCCACATGTTGCAATCCATAGGAGTTTCTTGTGCAGAAGGCTTGTAGGATCAACCTTTAGTTTATTTTGCTTGTGGTGGTGTTTAAGCATAAGAACATGAGTTCTTTCCAGACCCCATCTACCCTAAGCTCAATGAAAGCCATCACACAGCTTACCATTCTAAACCTTTTCCTAAATTATTTCCTCCTGGTCCTATCACTATCAATGTTATATGTAATCACATACACACACTGTGACATCCCTTTCTGTCCATCTCCTTCTTTGTTACGCCTACACTTATTTTACACCATAACATAGAATTCAGTTGCTTTATTACGTAGTTTCTCTCATGGGCCATATCCACCATGATTAAAACTCGGGCAGAGGTGTGTGTGTTGGGGTGAAAGTAAAGAGAGGAATCCCCCCTTCACACCATGACACAGCACAGCAAAGTTCATCCCCATGTCTGAAACTACAGTGTATGATCCTGACATGGTTCCTGGGGGGGGGGGTCCCCAAGGATCCAGCTTCACTGTACCCACCTGACTGCCCAGCCCCCATCAACTTCTGCACATTGCCCCCCCATGCTACTGGTTCCACTGCTGGAGGAGCTTCTGCAGCAGCAGAGACAGGGACCATGATTTGTGCCTAAAGGCATAAATCAATTTCAAATTATACTGTACAAGTATAATCACTGTGGCCCAGATCCACAAAAGGACTTAGGCACCTGACTCCAATTTACGCACCTAAGTCCAAAAATTAGGCATCAGAGAGCCTCAAAACTCCTGCTTGGCTGCTGCCTAACCCAGTAGGTGCCTAAAATCCCTCAGTGCCTAAATTTTTTCTGTCAAAGTTCCCTTGGTGCCTACGTTTCTGCCACTGGGCATGCACACAATGCCTTACACTCTAGCCATCCAGGTGAATATCTCATGCCTAAGCCCCAGAGGATCCTCAAACCAGGTGAAGATAGGCTTCCCTCCACCTATCTTGACCAATCTGGTAGGTGAGCTCAGAGCAACATATAAGTCCCCTTGTGGATCTGGGCCTGCCTCTCTTCTTCCAATATTGCTATTTTTAAAAATATAACTATACAAAGACAACTATATTTTACCTCCCAATGTTGTTGTGATTCATTACAACTTACTTTATTGTAACTTATGTTTTCATAGTAATTTTAGTTTTCAGTAAAGCTAAAGAATGCAAACAGCAAGATAATTGCTAATTTCAATGAACCTGCCAACTGTAAATATTTGCAACGTGTACTGCAGTATCCATTTTACACAGATATTTATTCCATCATGTGTTTGATGAGTAAGAGTGGTTCAGACCCAGAGAAAGGATATTGATAAATAAGGAGTAAATAATACTAAATAATTAATACTAAATAAGGAGTCCTGCAATTAACACGGTAGTTTGACTACATGTGTTTTTCATTCTCAGGAATAGATTTATAAATGTAGCACCTTTCTAAGTGCTGTTTTGGATATCGTCTACAAAAAGGACGCTTGGTATCTTGATCACCTATGAATGATGTTTGATAAATGGTAAAACCATCATGACTGTTAGGAATGTACTCATGTGCCCACAGACAGAAGTTTTGTGAATTCTGTTGCCTTCTTTCTGGTTCAACCTTCTTTCGTCCTAGGCTCTAGGAAAAAGATTAAAGGAAAAACTGATAAAAATGTACATTTCAGGATCACAGTTTCACTGTTAAAGTTTGGAATGTTAGGGAAGAAATCCACTACTTTGTCATGGAACAGTTAAAAATTAAAGAAGTACTTACCAAAGTTATAATCAGAACCACTGCTGATCTGCTGCAAGCAGTTAGGTTATAAATATTATTCTCTGACCTACCAATATATACCTTTCTGGTAGCATGATTAACTATGCTGGTGCACAGACAAAGGAAAACCAGAAATAGACATCTTGACTTTTGATCTATTATTATGAATAAAATAATAATTCTTTTACTTGCTATAGCACTTTATATATTCAAAGTGCAGTACTAAATAACTGAATCTTCATAACAGCCCAGTGAGGTACATAAATAACATTATTTATGGCTTACAGATAAACAAACAAAGTGTAAAAGCAAGTTTTTCAAAAGTGTCCCTTACTTTTGTGTGCCAAACTTGAGACCCAGAGAGTCTGATTTTTCTTATGTGATGTACCCACAGCTCCCACTGAACTCCCACTGGGGTTCCACGTGATCAGTGTCTCTGAAAATTATTAGGCATTGAGTATAGCACACTGGGCAAAAAAATGGAAGGTTTTCAACATTAATGAATGCTTTTGGGAATCTGGGCCTAAGAGTTGCCCAAGGTCACAAAGGGATTCAGTAGCAGAGCAGGAATCAGAACATGGGAGTTCCTGACTCCCTACTCTGCGCACTGTCTAGTAGATCATGCTGTCTCTTTTGTTGCCATAGAAACATATCAACATTCCAAAAAGGAAAAAAAATCAAAATTGAAATTATTACGCAAGCAAACGTAAAAGGCAAAAGAGGAAATTTTAAAAATTTGCTCAGAATGGTGGCTCCCTTAAGACAGTGCTTCTCAACCAAGTGTACGCAGAGGTCTTCCAGGGAGTACATCAACTCATCTAGATATTTGCTTAGTTTTACAGCAGGCTACATAAAAAGCACTAGGAAAGTCAGTTCAAACTAATATTTCATAGAGACAAAATGAGAAAGTAAGCCATTTTTCAGTAATAGTGTGCTGTGACACTTTATATTGTTATGTCTGATTTTGTAAACAAGTAGCTTTTTAAGTGAGATGAAACTTGGGGTATGCAAGACAAATCAGACCCCTGAAAGGTTGAGAACCACTGCCTTAAGATACCTTTAAACACATATCCTATAAGCTCCTCTAGGCTACTAAACTTCCAGGCAGAGCAGCTACATAGGGAGGCCTCTATAACTCTTGCTCACCACAGAGGTAAACTCCATGCTAGCTCCAAATAAGCTGGGAGAGACGGGGTTGTGCCAGAGGGGCACATGATCTATGCTTGTGCAGATCCAGAGTCTGGGATAGCAGGACAGCCTTTATTTTAGCCCCACAGACTGTAACAGGGTATGCTACTATCAAAGCAGAGTATCTTAAAACACAATATGGAACTTTTAGTGCATGGTAGCAGGGTCCACATGGACAGTTAGTGCATAGCAGGCTAGTGCACTGTAGATTTACACCCTAGTTGGCCATGCACTAACTGTTCGTATAGACATGTCCAGAGAGGTTGTGCTGCAGTCCTGAAGCTTGCTCACAGGTTGTTTCTTACAATCCCTACTTTATTGCCTACAAAAAGACCATTTATTCTAACTTTTTGAGAAGAGATGAATTTCACCAACACAGCAGTGTGAGAGAGAATACTTCCAAAACTCTGCTTCCAAAACAGAATGCCAGATCTGCATTTGCACACCAAGCAACCAGTGTGTCCAGATAAAAAATCAGTATAAAAACACTTTTGCAAGTGGCTAACCCATAAACCTGTAGACTAAGAGAAAGTGACATGATTTGGGCTGCTATGCTCCACAAGAAGTCAATTATGTATGTATCACTCTTGCCAGATCTTACATACTATTCTAGGTATCTGTAAATGCTATATTATACTGTTATGAGGATTGAGAAGACATACCCACATGTAATTACGCATAAGAAGTTATGTCCCAACAATCTGTGCATGTTATCAGTGCTGTTTAGTGTGCATTTTCTCTCATCACCTTTTTGAGCATCCATGAATTTTGCAAGAAAACTGTCTTTAATCTCTGGCAGGTTGAGAGATATGAACTTGCTGATTTTCTCAGTGCTGGATACTCACAAAATCAAAGTACTCTCCCACATTCTGTAAACAATGCCTGTTGTCATGGGTTGAAAATGGAAAGTGATTTTTTACTGCTTTCTGAAAAAGAGATCAAGAAAAGATAAGTTATAATATACCTTATGCCATCCATCTGTGCTATAATCTTAGTTTGCACTTTCTGACACATGCAAAAATTATGTTTTTCTTAATAGAGGCATTATCTGTTAAATCTTCTTGTACATGCGTTTATTCCTGCAAAATTTGCTCTCTGTATTTTTCTCCAAAATCATCTGAATTTAATATTCACAAGACTTATTGAACATGCACAGGATTAAATGCAAACTTCCAAATCAGAGAAATCATATTCTCCATAGAAGCACCAAGATATTACAGAAATGTCAAGACTTTTTTGTATGGCTCATTAGTGAGCCCTCAACAAATGAAAGTTGAACTACAAAAGGGAACTCAAAACTGAGTTAATCTGAGATTTAAGTGTTGAATACCATCCAGTAACCAGGCTCTGGGAGCCCATTAAGCACAGAACTAGTTTTTAAACTCACCTTTTACGCATACTTTTTATCCATTTTGTAAAATTAAAGTACTATTTTAAAAAAAGCATCTGAAAATGCATAAACAGAGTTGTAGGAAAGTAATAAATGTAATAATTTACAAATTAATTGTGCATTATATAACGTTTCAGTCCTATGTGTATAAAATGGTTAAAATATGAAATTCCAAAAAGTATTCTGGACTACTAGACTTGTCTTTTTTGCTTCTACAAGCACCGTCTTTCGGTTTGTGTTGGTAACGGTTCATTTTTACAACTTCTCTAATGATTTTTATACTTAATATGGAGGCAGGAATATTCCATCTTATAACTGTAGATCTTCATCTCAAGGGGGCATATCTAGTTTTACTGTGCTATAATACAAAAGCTATTTGAAATAAATTGTGGTTTGTAACAGAAAATATAAATCAATTATAAAGAAAAATATAATTATGGTCCTGATCCTGAAAGGACAGGCAGATGCCAGGGTCTGCCTGCATGGAATCAGCTGCAGGATCAGGGTTTAGGTTATAACTGAAGATCTCCATTTGGTACACTTTATGGATCTTGGTTTGGTCTTGTGCTGTGTGCCTCATGACCATATAATCTCTCATACAAACTCAACTAGTCTGTAGCCACACATGCTTTTGCTTAATTATAGATCTGTAGTACTTTTCAAGGGTCCAATTCTATAGCTACTCCATGCCTAGAACTCATAGTGAAGTCAGTGGGATTTTCATAAGAAGATCAGCTACACCATGAATATGCCTCTAAGCCCCAATTTTGCAAATAGTTACGCACCAGAGTTATGTTATGCATGTGAGTATTCCCACTGAGTTCAGTGGGACTACTCATGTGTACTTGCTTACAGGATCAGGGCCCTAGGTAATTAATCCTGCATGGATAAAATGCACAGAGCTACCACTGAAACACATGAGTGTGGTTAAGACCCAGTCACTTACATCTTTACAAAGGAATAGTGAGTTTATTTATAGTTTTTATGTGCTGCAGGAAAATTGAAAAACAAAAGATACATATATATTGAATAATATCTCTGGGAATTATTTAACAAATTAAGTACAGCAAAAAAAAAAGCTATAGTAAAAATGGTTTTAAGATTACAGCAAAGTAAGAACAATGACTAATATAATCTAAGAAAGAACTATATTCCTGCCTCTGAGAAAAGTAATTAACCTCGCAGCCAGGAAGTTCCCTCACACAGAGAGATTAGAGACAGTCAGCTCTGGCACACAGTGACCTTCCAGCTCCTTTCAAACTGAAACAGTTTTCATCAGCAGTTTTTTTTTAAAAGTCAAAGCAACACAAACTTTCTCAAACTATGTTTTTATGACATCACATTCCAGTCTCTTTAATATATCTTCCTTCTCTTTCTGCTGACATCATTCTAATCCATCATAAATAGATGAAAGGGCCTTCATTAATTCTTCCGGATAGTGAAAACAGCTACCCAAAAAATGGATGTCACAACATAAGAAAGGTCATATGAGTATGGACCAATGGCATGTCTAGCCTGGTATTCTTTCTCCAGCAATAGCCAATGCCAGATGCTCCAGAGAAAGGTATAAAATCCCATAATGCACTGTAACCTTCTATTCCTCTCTTCACTATTCCAAAACTCCCCTGCTAACTACTCTCTTTTAGTCAAATTCTGCTCTTAGTACACTGAGGTCAGTGAAGTTACTCTGGTTTTAAACCAGTATAAATGAAGTAGACTTTGGCCTCTGGTCTCATGTGATTGTAATAGTGCTATGAAGATGTCACCTTCTCAGGGAGGACAAGAGAAATCATCAAGAAAACTGCAGAGTTGTTCAGTAGAGGGGTAGGAATTTCATCCTACGGCAGCCAGGGACAAACTGATGACAAATTGCAACAAAGGATGCAGTTTGTTGTCTCTCCCAGATTAAATGTGCCAACTTCCAAGAAAGCATACTAGATAAATCCAAACAGTGGTGGTGTTCAATGAAACCAAGACATTCAACTCTTTGGGAAAGTGGGTTAAGTTCCCTACTTTCTATGGGACAGGAATCTGAGTATAAGACAGCCTGACTTCCAGAACTGGAGCCCAGTGTGCTATGTATGCTGTAGATTCTGATAACTTTACACATTAGTCTACTTGAGGAGCAAAGTTATCCAAAACTGGCACTATGTGAGCTAGTTATGGCTTTCTTTTGTTTTACTATGACATCATGTTAAAATGATAGCATTCACCATATATTAATAACAATGTATAAATAATTAATATTAACACAACTACCATTAATTCTGCCTTTATGGACTCAGAAATCAGGACATTCTAAAAATTAAGATTGTTGCCACAAAGTAAATGTGGCCCCAAAGCACATTCTATATATTTTAGGTATGTGTTAAGAGTTGTCCTTACAAAAAGCAGAAACGGAAAATACTCTAAATGAGCAACGTAGCACAATTAATGTTGTGGGTACAACTTTAACTTTGGAATCTGCTGCATTTGGAGTGCACAACATTGCAACCTTTGTGTTGCAGAACACTATTTTTTTGCATGCAGTTTCCAGGGGTCTTTTGAAAGAAGGGAAAAAAGCAAGGGTCTGCATGCATGGATCCAATTGTAGGATCAGTGTGCATGCATGAAACTGTCGCCTTTAAATGTTCATAACTTTAAAAACACTGTACTGATTATTTTGAAACTTGGTTTGATTTCTAACTCTCAGTAAAGTCTTTAAAAAAAAAGAATTCAAGTTTGAAATTTCTGGCTTTAACTGTTTCAGTTATCAAAACAAACTTCCTCAAGGGAACACATATTTCCCACACAATTCAAAATTGCTTACCAAATTTCAATCAAACCTTCATACATACATATTTTATCCACATTTGTTGGACTGAGACCAATTATAGTATATTTCAGCACAGGGGTCAGCAACGTTCGGCACGCGGCTCGCCAGGGTGCTTACCCTGGCGAGCAGCATGCTGAACGTTGCCGCGTGCCGACCCCTGTTTCAGCACATAAAGAATTCGTTTTAGAAAGTTATCAGCACTAATAAAAAATAGTAATAACTGAGCAACAGTATATCTTGGGATAAATTTTTCCTTACCACAGATGACCACCAACGTATCCCCTTAAGCATGAAAACTGGAAGCCATTACACTTTTTATGTTAGTTCTTATTCAGATAATTTAGTAAGCATTTACTCAATAACATCCCGCAGCAAGGAGTTCCATAAGTCAATTATATGTCCACACTAACTAACCTGCTCCCGAATTTTGTATACTAGTGGCAATCTCTTCTCAATATATTGAACCTCTTCTGGATTTTGTACCTGTTTTAGCATACAGTCTGTGATTGATTCAGGTTGACTATGGAATATTCCAAGGTGCGGGAACTAGAAAATATAAATGTTTTGATCCAGAAAACAAACACATCAGCATCAGAGAAGCAGTTATTTTTATTATTTATATTTTCATTTATTTTTATTATTTGTATTAAGTAGCACTTGGGGCCCCAGTCGGAATTGGGATCCCACTGTGCTACCACCATAAAAAACACAGAAGAGAGCACAATCCCTGCCTTGAGGAGCTTCTGATGTAGAAAGACAAAATAGATGAAGGAAGGAGAAAGGGATGTAACATACAAAGAGCATATTTAGAATGATGGGTTGCAACATCCTGTTAGTTCTGCAGGGGGTTTTCTGAAAGTCCATAATTTAGTGGTAGTTAATGTTGCAGGAGCATCCTTTACACAGTCACAGCTGCAAGGTTGTTATCTTTACTATTGCTGCTGTTCTTGCCACTATATGGGAAGATACTGGACTTGATGGCACTAAGCAGGAGATGCCCAGCACATTATAGGTTCAGGATCTTAGAACCTGCACAAAGAAGCAAAGCACTCGTGGAATATGTGTGTACATACATTCACAATGCTGAGGAGCCTAGACCTCAGCAACAGTGAGATCAAGCTGCTGCTGCTGCTCTTGTGTAACCTATAATTGAGACAAGTATAAGGTAGACTTCTCCTGGAGGAGAAATAGCAAATTACCTATAAGTAAAAAGAAAGAAGAGGATTCAAGGCAGCTTAGAAACATGGAAGAAATCTGTTGAAAATGTGCACTGAACGTAGAGATTTTTTGTGAAAGTCTAAGAAAGTTGCAAGGGAAAAAAGGATCTAGGTTTGTAAAGTGATTTTTAGTATGTCTTTACAGATTGATTTCTAAACCCATATGGAACACCACACCATAGGGTGATGAGATTGTGACGTTAAAAGTTATTCAATCAATTCCAATAACTGTAAAGTTGATCTCACTTCTTTCTGTGTTGCTGTCCTATTCATGAAAATGTTGCAAAAAGTTTCCAGTGGGAAAGGGGAAGCACTTTTAAAAAATGTTTCATGTGGATTTAACATCACAGCTCTAGCATGTAATTTGATAATACCCTTGTCACCACAAACTAATTACAAATAGAAAATAATAATAATCATTTCACTTGGGGCAACTTTTTGAAAATGTAAATTAATTAATCCACACAATAATGCTGTGATGTAAGGAAATAATCATGATTATCCCCATTCAGAGAAGTGGAAAAAGAGAGAGATTAAAGGTGATCTATATAGAAAAAACTGTGGTTGTGTTTCTTTCCATTTCTTTATCACCTATAAAAAAGATCTGAGCACATCAGAAATATCAGTAATGTCAAGATTTCTCAGACTCTTCCTTTGTTGGTTGAAAAATTTGTTTGATTCAGAAATGAATATTGCTAGCTGTCTTGGTCCTTAGTAGAAGGGGTAGAGGAATTGAATTTTAGTCAAACTATCTCAAGTAACTAGGTTTCATTTTCTTGGTATTGGTAATGTCAATATCCCAGACCACAGAGTAGGTTTGCTTGAAAATTTTCCAACAAAACTGTTTTTTAAGTGGAAAATAGGGTTTTTGATAAAATAAAACATTTTGCATGAAGAGTTTCCTTTCCACGGAAGATTTTGTTTTAACATTAAAATATTTTGGCCAAAACCTTTTGGTTAGTGAGTTTTCTGCTGAAAACTGGAAAATTTCAGCGGATATGTCAATGAAAACGAAAGGCTTGTTTTTGTTTGTTTCAATCAAAAATTTTCACGGGGGGAGGGGACATAGTCAGACCAGTTTTATCAGAACCCTGCCAGGGTCGACAAGGCCTGGATGGATTTCTATAAAAATCAAAGAGAAAGAAGCCTCGCAGGCCTTCTTCCCCTGTCCCAGGGAGAAAGCAGGCTCACGGCCACGCTTCCTCTTTGCGGGGCCCGGTTAAGAAACATGCCCACGGCCACCCAGCTGCTCAGGGGCAGAGAAGCCAGTGGGGCTCAGGCCCGCGCTCCAGCACTAGGGCTGACCGGGGCCAAACCCTCCCGCCCGCTGATGGGGCGCTTTGCCAGCCCCAGGGCTGCTGCGAGCCTGGAGCAACCGGGGCGGTTGCTATCCCGCTTCCCAGCGATAAGCTGCCCCTGCCGGGACCAGCGCGTGTCGCTGCTTGTGCCATGGCACCAGGCGGGGGTGGGTGCACTGGGCTGGGCTCTGCCCCCGCTCCCCACGGGCGGTTATTCCTGCCCGGAGCGAAGGGGGCTGGCTCGGGTCCTGCTTGGCCGGGGCCGGAAGCCGGGTCGCCCCCGCCCCCCGCGCCGGTCTCTCACCCAAGCGCCGTCCCGCTCGGTGCTGGGGTTGGCCAACCTGCCTTTGGGCATCGCTGGGCCCGGGCCGCCACCTGCTGCCGCGCTGCGGGGCCAGCCTGCGGCCTCAGCTGCCGGACAGTGGTTGCCATAGTCACCGGCCCGCCCCGCGACCCCTGAAACTCAGGGGCCCGCCGTTACTCCGCCAGCGGAACGCCCCCCGCCCACTGGAGACCCCCCAATTCAGGGCTGGGGAGGCCTTGCTATGGGAGAAGGAAAACTCCCTGGATTAGGGGGACCCCATTCCTTTAAAGGGGTGGAGAAGATCCCCAGTGGGTGAGAGAGGCTCCCATTTCAGGGGACTGGGGAGGCCCTGCATCAGGGGATGGGGGAGACTCTCACTTATGGATCATAAGTGAGAGTCTCCCCCATCCCCCATAACCATAAGTTATGGTTGGGGCGACCTCAGTGAGGCAGTGAAGATCCTTGTGGATGCAGGAGACCCCTCCCTCATTCTGGCACAGGGAGAGAGACCCCTTTTATGGTTGGTGAGACCTTGGTATTCATCAAGTGTAGGGCCCCTTATTCTGAGGGAGGGAGAGTACCTGTGGGGGTGAAGACTCCATCATCTGAGGGGTGGGAGAGACCCCCCCTTATTGTGCGGATGCCTTCCCCAAAGTGAAGGATCAGAGAGAATGGGGGACTTACACCTGTACAAGGAGATTCCTCTGCTTCACCTATGGATACATTTGTTCTAAACTCATCTCCTTAGGGAAAGGAAAGTAGCTATACCTTATTTAAAGGACGCTATTTTTAAAATACAGGAATCAGCTAAGAAAACATCAGTGGGATCATTTTCCTTTGCCTTATATGCATTTTGTGATATGAGTCTATGCAACACTTTAAGTGTTTCAGGCTGTACACTAAGGCCTGGTCTACACTAGGCTTTTATGTCGACTTTAGCGCCGTT